GAGCACGACTGCGCTAATTGAAATAGATCTAAGAAAATTGCTATGTCTCCTCAGTTAAGCAGAATCGCCTGGCAAAATATATATTTTTCTGAATGCAGAGATTCTGCTCCATCGATTGGTGTGAAAAACTTGATATGTTACTGGGCAAAACTAAGAGTACGGTAGCCTTGAAGATGGTAACCCCTACAGTATCACTGGTATACAATAGTTGATATGTTACTGAGCAAGCTTGAGAGTACGGTAGGTTTGAAGGTGGAATAGTGTATTACATTAAAGAAATAACTACACCTGTTCAATTAAGAGAATTGCTCAACAAAATTATGTTTTTGTTTATGCGGACGTTCCGCTGGATCGGATGGTGTAAAGAAGTTCAGTTGTTCATGAACAAACTTGAGAAGATGGTTCTCCTGAATGTGGCAATTTCGATACTGCTATACTAACATGTAGATTGATCAATAGGGAGCGATCAATGTATCATATATCAATGAGTGTCAACGCGCTAGTTGAGATGACTTTAATGATATAGCTATATCTCCTCAACAGAGCAAAGTCGCTCGACGAAATATATGTTTTTTGAATCTTGAGATTCTTGCGGATCGGATTTTGTACAATAGTTGATATGTTATGAGTAAACTTGAGAGTACGGTAGGTTTGAGTGTGGAAAAGTGTATAACATTAAGAAAATAGCTATATCTCCTCAATTAAGACGGATTGCTCAATAAGATTGTTATTCTGAATGAAGAGATTCCGCTTGTCCGTTATAGAATTGAGAAAATAGCTCTATCTCCTCAGCTAATCGTTATTGCTCGTTTCATATATGATATTCTGAATGTGGGGATTCTGGGCAATTGAATTGTGCAGAGAAATTCACATGTTGCCGTGCAAACCTGAGAGTACGGTTACCTTGAAGATGGTAACCTCTATAGTAAGGTATTGATATTGGTCTATGGTGATACAATGTATATGAATGAGCGTCTTTGCGCTTATTGTTGAGATAGCTTCCTGAAAATAGCCAAATCTCATCAATAAAGCAGAATTACTCAACGAAATATATGGTTTTCTGAATCTAGAGGTTTCGATGAATCGAATGATGTTGAGAAATTGGCATGTTATGGGGTAAACCTGAGAGTACCGTCAGCTTGAAGATGCTGTTGTAGCGNGTCTATAGTGATACAATGTGCATGAACGAGCGTCATTGCGCTGGTTGAGATGTCTTTAAGAAATCTGTTATGTCTCCTCATGTAAGCAAAATCGCCCGACAATATGTATGTTTCTCGAATCTAGTGATTCTGTGGAATCGAACGGTGTGGAGAAATCGCTTTTTTTTATTGATGTTCGTTTTTAATTGCTGAGTCTCATACTGTTTCTGCCAGTGCTGAATAAATTTATAAAAATGCTTGTTTCTTTCCAGAAAATTAACTTCTTTCACTTTGCTGAGGAATTTCCGGACCAATTTTCTGTTTGTTCGTGACGTTATGCGTGGAAATAGTAGATTCCTGTATCAAGAGAGAGGAGGGGTGGGAGGAGGAGGGGGGAGTGGAAGGAGAGGTTGGAACGGCGGCCTGCCACATCATGAAAAGGGTAGTGGATCACCCGAGCCTGAAAACCACTGACTTTTAGGGAATCTGGACATTTTCAATGCGGGTAGGATGAACTGGCCGCATTCAGTATGATCGATTTAATTTGTCGTCTCCGATTAGTTTAGATGGAGTAACTCAAGCTCTATTTTTACGCAGTTTTGCCCGACAACTCCCTGATTCTTCAGTACCATTGAATAAGTGATAATCTCCCCTCTCAGAAAAGTATATATGTCATGAAATAATAATGCTCAGCTCGCGAGCTGTATGTAGTCAAATCTCCTGAACGTATTGTATGCTGCTGAACCATTCAATTGTATCGCCTACGTCTCGTTTCACGTTCGTTCTCCGTGCATCAGCATATATTGCTGAAGGAAAGCACTTCATGAAGATCGACGTTCAACCAACCCTCTGGCTGTGCTTCGAAAACCTTGATAAGATCACCTAATCACTAGATTTTATAAGTCACATCTTGTAACGTAGTTCATGTGCAACGCTATTAAGTAATATTCTTGATCCACAGAAAATCAGAACAATACGACATTCTTTCGCTGTACGGGCATTTAGATCGAAATTGCCTTTTGCCCCACAATTTCTTTGAACAGAATCAAAATGTGAGAGAAAGGATTTGGTGTAAACAAAACAGTCGAAAAACGTTAAACTACTACGAATTCTTTTATAGAATATGATTTATTCAGCAGCAGACACATCCACGAAACATTTTTTCATTGTCAGCAATGGACTGTGATTATCCGTTAGAAAATATTATATTACTGGTGTCCGAATTTATTCCACAAATGAGGTTGAATATTATATTTCATATTATGATCTGTTGCAATTTATGCATCTTTTTTTGACTACAACCATACAGAATGATGATAATGCGATGAACATTAATAATTACAGCGATGTTTTCACTTTCTTCTTCATCCAAAGCCAAAAAAGTAAATCAAACTGTTATCGAAAGAAAGAAAAATTCCAATCGGATAAGACGATCGTCATAAATAATTGCCGGCTTTTTTCTTACTACTAGTATAAAGCTGAAGCGAGCTTTCCGCTCAAAATGCTCATTTAAGTTAGCTCAGATTTTCATTTTGATTAACCAAAGGAACAATGTAATAATTTATAAGTTTCTTGTTTTCCAACAGATGCATCATTTTTTTGTATACATCTTTATTCTTCATTTCGAATGAATCAATCAATTACATCAAACTGGACAACACATACAAGATTCCATATTTCGAAGAACATAAAATACGTAAAAGACGTGAAATCACTTAATGATAAGGTAAGTCCATTCGATTGTCACTTCAATTATCGACATGCCAAAAGTCTTTCTTTTTCCATTCGATTCACCGGAAGTCGGTTGTATGTATCAAACGGATAATCGATATAATTGAAATCAACTCTTCGATAGAAGACAGACGGTTATTAATGTAACACTGTATCGAAGTGTTTGAAAGCATCACAAAAGCACAGCGAGGTAGCACAACGGAAAACTTCAACACTTTGCTTCATATATAAATCTTGTTGTTAGGCACCGTTTCCTCAGAAAGCTTCATTATCGATGAGATTTCATAAAGAACAAATTCTTCACATTCTTGTTAAGAATGTATCTTATCTCTTTTTAAACGAATAAGAATATATTCTATTTTCTAATATATTCTATTGGCATACCTGGCAGAAGAAGACGAAAAGAAGGCTAAAATGAAACAGGAAAAACAATCAGCAGAATTATTGAAAAAGCGACAACATTCACGTTAATCGCTCGAAATGAAGTCCATCGATTTTTGTAACACAATTAGTCAGTAATCAAAACAGGTGAACGTAAACTCTAGTTGATCTTATTTGTTACGATTTAAGAAGAGCATTTCATCTGCCTCGAAACAACATCACCGGAGCTCCGCCAATGGAAGAAGAGAAGCTGCGTCCGTAAGGGGACATGGAACAGGCATAAATTTTGCTCATGGACTTGCTCCACTTACATCCAATGAAGTGATGCCAAAATCATTGAACATCAACATCAACAAAAAACTCAAAATGATTCATCATCTCTCGGATTTCCCAGTTCCGAGTCGGAGGACTCGAACTGAACAAAATGAATAATCAAGATATACTTCACAAAAGCAAATAGTGAAAATAAATCCCTAAAATATGGGATTAATCAATGTGAAATAGGATTTGAAAAGTTGAGAAAATGTTCCATAAAAGTAGGAACGATAAAGTTTTAAAGATTCAAACACCGAAAGATGCAAAATAAAAGACGAATAATCAAAGAATTAAAAGCCAGATAATAAAGAATATGCCAATATACACAAATATATTCGAGAGAAATTGCTCTTCTTCTGCTTGGCGACTACCTGGTGCAGCTGAAAAGTTATATTCATATACAATGCAATCAGTTTGGACGAGTAAACAGAAGTGATTCTACAAACAATTCATATTCGACTGCTGTAAACTTCACGAACCTCTTCCGTCACACTCGCTGAATCGAGCCGAATACATTTCACCACAAGAAAAACGAAGATAAAAACTATGACTATGAGGACAGATTTATGCTAGCAATAGTAATATTCACAACGTCAAAACAAAAACGAACGTGCATCTGGACGGCGTTCACCAAATCCATTGTTGAAGAATGACGCAAAGAATGAAATTGGAAAAACACCTATACCCATTGAGAACTGAACACCACCTCCACCGTTATCGCCACCCCATTGAAAACCGGGGAAGCCTTGGAATCCGCTCTAAAATTTCAACTTGTGATGGTTTCTTGTCGGAGTTCAAGATGAATACAACTTATCAGATTTATTGTTCACTCACGAATACCATTTGCAACTTATGAAGTTGGATAATTTCATAATAATTCGCAAATTTTGGACTGAATTCATATTAATGGAATATTGTTTCGAGTAGACTCAAAGTCTACATTACTGCACGAGTGAGAGTATTATAATAAAAGGTCAACTCTGGCAATGCTATAGAATACGAAAACAGTGAAGGTAAGAAGTGCTTAAGTTTGATAATTGGGCTCTTTACTAAGTCTGTATTGGATCCATATATTTACTATCTCCGATTTTCATATACCTGCGGAGCTTCGCTTCGCTGTCCCTGCGGTCGGGGTGGCACCTTTTCACGCGGATCGGTTTCGTTACCGCCTCTTCCATACAATGGAATCACCTAGAATCAGCTCTTTTTGATCAATAACGGCAATGTCTTTCTGATAAATCCAACTTTTGAGGGCATATCCAAGGAAAACTGATAACAGTGCAAAAGTTATGAAAATGATTTGACAAACATTATTAAAAACAAACAGTTACAATCGAATACGAGTTCTGCTGACGAAGATCACTTTCTAAGCAATTAACCGATTCAGCGAACACTCAAAAGACTTTCACTTCTGTTTTTCAATTTTTGAGTTAAAAAAGTGATACTCATGACTCAGTCACACATAAAATGAAATCGAATTATGCACCTTATCTTTACTAATCGCGGACTTGCAAACAGGACACAGCTGTCTGTTGGGACGAGTATCGAGCCATTGGTGAAGACATGGCCAACAGAATAAATGACCACACATCGACACAACTGCATCACGGGCTGTATCCAAACAAATATTACATTCGAATCTGGAACTTTGTTAAATTCGCTGTTGTAAAGAATTTTCCGATTCAGTCACTCAAAACAATCCGCGAGCGCAAACAGACGCAAACACAAACAATAACGTCATGACAGATATACGTCGTCGAGTTTGGATGAAGATATACATTTTAAAAACATTTTCAAATTGGTAACAGAAAATATCAAATGAGAGTAAACTGTGATAATAACATACCGTCCACCTTCGTCGTCTTTCTTCTTATTTTGTTCTGACTGTGATGTGTCTTCAGAAGGTTTCTTGGCATCTGTTGATACGGATGCACCACTCGATGACGCCATATCAATAGGTTACCTTTAAACATTCAACAATCTCAATGGCAAGAAAATCGGTTATCTATGAGAAGCACGCATCGTTTTACGGAAAATTTGCCATCATCATCCGGGCTCATCGACAAACATATTCGATACAACTGACGCTTCATATTGAATGAGAAGCTGTAAATTCATGAGCATCTCCAAAGAACGTTATCATTACGTTACGAGCAAAAAAACAAAATCAATCCAACGGAGCAACCGTACAGTAATAAGACTATTATCTAACTAACAATAAGCATAGATGAAGACTGATGATACGATGATGATGATGATGTGATAAAATGATAACAGAGTTGTTATTTGCTTTTCCTATGAAAATTTATTGGCATTTTCGCTGACAATACTGCTGAAAGACAAAATGCNCAAACGATGGAAACAATAAATACGCTGTTAAGAGTCGCATGAGTGGGGAAACGATAAGAAAACAAATGGAGCTTATGAATGAAACGGAATGTGAGGGAACGAAAACATTGTACATGTTGTTGCTTTCAATTACTTCAATTATGTCAATTATAAGTCGATAGTGTGATAAGGAATTCATCAAAGGTGATGCAAATGAATGAAAAAAACAAAGTTTTTTTGGTTTGCATCAATCGATTAAATACTCAGTCTTGAAGTTGGAATGAAAACGTCTGAAACAATTTTAAGAACTGCTGAAGCAATAATCAATGTTATTCGATAACTATGTTTCGTAACAATGATTTCATCAGTCGATAATGCTAAAGTAACGCTGTTTGCTTCAAATTCCAGTCTTGTTTCAACCATAATAATCGAAAGCACAAATGAATATTTATAAAACGAACCAATACAATACATCAATAACAAAACAGCACAGACGATCAACAATTAACTCCAACTGAAAAATGATCTCTAATCGACAATTACATTTCACATATCGAATGCGTTGCGTACTGGCAAAGCGTGTCTCATTTGATGTTCCCATATACACGCTGTATCTATCATATTCACGTACACAACACGAACGAGCACTCGAACAACTCAGCACAGATCTAATACAACGTCACCTTAACTTGTTGGCATTAGCTGATTGCATTTGTTTTATAAATTGCGAATGAAACAAGCAATCAGCAGTAGTTATGTTAATGAGTTATGTTAACAAGCANTGTTGGAGATTGTGTTGATGCTCTGGCGTTCTTGGTTTCATTCTCAAATACGCAGAGTATTTATGTTCTCGTTCAAATCTTACTTTCTGATCAAAATCATGGGAACGAATTGATTTGAGCCATAATGAAATTGTGGTGGCTGGAAAAGATATGTCCTCGAATTATGAGCGTTTTGAATAGTTCTGCTTAATGCAAAAATGTCACATTATTGATCACAAACCTGCATGCAGATTTATGACTCGTTTAGTCCCACCTAAAAATCTTATAAAACTCGAATACAATTCGAAAAAGCTGTTGAATATTGTAAGGAAAAGCTTCCGACACATACACCGGCAGTCACAGTTGGAGTTCTCGCTCATGTCAATAAAGATGAAGAGTGAGACATCATATGTTGATTTTATTCCTGAACATAAACCTGACATTGAGAGAACAAAAGAATTGGTGGAAACCGCAAAACTTTCACAAGAATAATAATAAATTTTAAATTGTCCTTTAATTTCCACAAGTTTTTTAAAATTTTAAAAGCAATCAAATAATTTCTCTATTTTATTTCGAGTGATTCTCTTCAAAACATTTTCGAATTTTTTTCAAATTTTCATCTGATTCGCATTTTGCACTGAACTGATGATATTTCCACATGAACCGAGTGGACATTGTGTCTTTAATAGTGATGCTAATCGAGAAAATTTGCGTTCGGTCGGAATCGGACCAAACATACTTTTTGGTTCCCAGTTCCCAAATTCCAGATTCCCAAATTTGGTATTGTAACTAAATCCAAATTATTCAGCCAGAATTTGACTAAATTTGCCTTTTGTAGTTTCGAGCGAACAGTTACGAAGATCACCGAATCTCGCGATTACCGACAATCCGAAAAAACGTTTGAATCGATGGTTCGCTCGGATTTGACCGACCGAATTTCGGCAGATTACCATTACTTATCTGTAGGAGTAATTTCGCATGAATGTGTTACAAATGCAACCTTCTTTCTGCATCAGCGGAGCCTTGGTGGTCTTGCTTTTGGGCGAAGAAAACTCTATTTTCAAATCATAGTAAATAAGATCAATTAGAGTTTGGGTCCAGCAGTTTTGCCAGCGGATTAATTTTGTCCGAAAATACATTCCTTGCTTCTTCACTTCTCATTCTTGAATGAATTGCCTCAAAAAACTTGGGAATTTCATGCCTTGCACCGTCTTTGTCAATGGGCTTTTAATTGCTTTCGTTTTAAATTCTATCCTAAATCAGTTTTAGTTGTTGTTGAACGTGATTGCTGACCTCAGTTTCATTGTTGGCATTTCCCATTCCATTCTTTGTCGAATTTTATTGTTCTGATTATTTTTCATCACATATACAAGAACAAAAACTGTATAATCATTGATTTTTTGTCTCTCTCACCGTTTCCAAAGCGGCTATTACATATTAATAAATGCGGAAAACGAGGTCGATTTGGCTAGCATGTTAGCGCAATTGGACGATTGAAAGTAAAAAACTGAGAACCTGCATTAGAGGATTATGTCAATGATTAACAGTTTATATCAATGAATGATTAATAGGTTCTTAATTAGTGATGATTTTTAACAAATCAATGTAAACATATCACTGGAATCGATACTGAAAGGTTAGACGTTCATTGGTTAGATTAAGNGTCATTGTGACAAGATCAGCTTTGAGGATGGACGGATGGATAAGTTCATCATGAAAATTAGCGGTATTGTCGAATAGTTTGAACATCACTTGACTTTATTGTCTGATGTTCCTCGCTGCAAGGTTGGAAGGATGTTCCTCTCTTGCAATCTTTCACTATATCCCCTAGACATTGTAGTCACTCGAGCGGACAGATTCTATCTGAAATGGAGTCTATATTATCGTTATCAGCGCCATATCTACTACCCGAATGCCCATTCAGAGGTTGAATCAATTAAAATCGGTTAATCCAAAAAATGACGAGGTATAAGCAATGCAGTGGTGGTTTTTCTCTTATTTTCGGATGATAATGGCGACTTGCGAACGCAAACTGACAGCGGTAGGATGGCTGTTGAGTGTTGATACTACTAATACAAATGAATTTAATTGATAACTAAAAAAGAAAATTTGTGCCTTGATCAAATTTTCAACAGTGACAAGACAAGCTTTTATTATGGCATGTTGCCTCGAAACATGTTGACAGTTCGTGTCAAAGAAGAAGCATTGTCTTTCATGACTCGTCAGAAGTTTTGTCGAGAGCTACAAGCCAAATGGCACTACGAAGAAATGCTTGTAGAGCAAAAAAAGATTAAAGATTATTTCTGTTGTAAGCTACATTCGAATTGATCAAGTGTGGTTTGGTTGAGCAAGGCTGGTACTATTTACAAAGCGGCAGTTAATACGGAAAAGGTGCTTGTTCCTCATCATGATCCACTAGATGCGTATGGTTAAGGTTGACGAAACTCAAATTAATGGATGAATTTCTTTATCCGAAAATTTTTGTTTTCTGAACAAACCCAGAATGAACACAGTGGTTTCAAGTATGTGGGATAGATCGTGATATTTTTTCAATAATATTAAAACACAATCTGCAGAGTATTTTCTGTCAGATACTTTCTCTGCGATGGAACAAATATATCTTTCCGATGTCATAAATCTGCCTCAATAAAAACATTCACCATCCTTTATTTAGAG